CTCCAATTTGTGTGGACTAAACCTGCCTAAATGAAACGGGGAATTGGTTTCCCCCATCACCATGTTTGGAAGTTTGGAAGAAGCCAAGAGCCCTGGAGGGGAAGGAGAAAGGGAAGGTGATCTAATCCTGGCTGAGAAATGAGATGGGAGGGAGAAAAGCCATCAATGCTTCCAAACAGAAGGGTGAGAAAGCAACCAACAGTCCATTCCTGATCAAGGGGAGTATTCCCTCACACCCAAAGGAATCTGTGGGGTCCCAAAAATCAATATTGTGGTCACCACCACCATGTAATCAAAATATCACCCCTTTTTTATGTCTGTGGCAACTGTAGCATAATATAAAAGCATATGATTATGGCCACCATCTTAAATTTGTTGTCCCTCTCCCTGCACAAACACCCCTGCCTGCACCCCATCCCCACTATTATCAGATGCTGATTGCCCTTGGACACACTCTTTTATGTCAACTGATGAGAGGTAGGCACGCCTTCCTATTAAATAAAGGATGTGTTGAATTTATTAAAGGACCAATGTGAAAGATTGTGTTGGTTCTAACTGAGATACGGCAAAAAAGCAAACTTTGAAAATTGGGCTTAGGAATGTCATCACAGGAGCAAAAATTCTTAACTTAGAATATGATCCAGCAATCCTTTATCAGCCTGCTGGTCTGTCATCTCTCTCATCATACATTTGGTCATTTTCTATATACTTCAATTTTGAACTATCTGCAGATATCAAATTGCCTGCCAGGTCAGAGGATTTTAATCTTTCCATTTGGCCTTCTTTGTGACAATTCCCCATCCTCCCCTTTTTTGAGATATGTTTAGATGGATCAGGGTAAGGGGTCGTTTCTGGCAGTGATGCTAAAGGCTTGCAGGCCAATGTGATAGGCCTTATAGTGGCCTACTGCATCAGCAATCAGAGGAATGCCTCATTATCATGGAAGCATCCCCCAGCTTGGGCATAAATAGAACCAGTTTTTTGGATTTTTACTCTAAGTTATATGCTTCTGAAAAAATACAAGATGAACAAATAGACAATTACTTACAGGAGGCACACTTTCCTAGATTGTCAGATAATCAAAGGGAAAAAATGAATTGCCCAGTTACGTTGGAGGAGATAAAGGGGGCAATTAAGCAATTAAAACTTGGTAAGGCACCAGGTACAGATGGATTTACAGCAATTTATTATAAGATGTTATTGGAAGAAATGATAGAACCATTAAGGAAATTGTTTAATAGTATTTTGTTGGGTGAAGCGGTGCCTCCTTCCTGGCGAACTGCTTTTATATCCTTAATACCTAAGGAGGGTCAGGATTTGACTCAACCTAAGAATTATAGACCTATATCTTTATTGAATACAGATTATAAGATTTTTTCAAAAGTAATGGCAAATAGATTAATGCAAGTGTTGAATCAATTGATTCA